CGCGATCGCTTCTCCCATCGCACCCACCCACTCGCTGCCAAACACTGCCCCTCACTCCCTGCCATTCTCCGGGCTCCCATTGTTCCCGCAGACTTTCCAAGTCCTCACCGGCTCCAGGATCCTTCTTGCGTCCACTGTTCCCAGGCCTCCACGGAGCCCTCGATTCTCTCCTGTACAGGATCTGCCTCGATCCTTAGTCCGTCGGGTTTTCTCCAGCGCCCGGGTTTCCAGGGCCTTCCCAGGCCTTCGCCTTTCCCCTGGACTCTCTATTCCGAACATCCCTCCCCCTGCTATCTTCGGTCACACCGACATCCCACCGATTCTCCGCCGGCAGGTTCTCTAGTCCCGCTCTAGGTTATGAAGGTTCAGTCACAGCCGCGGGGTTTCCAGTGAGGATGAAGGCGGTATTTCGGTGCCTTGCCCCACACCCTAGTCACAGTAAGAGGAGGGGGATAAGAAGTCTCCTGAAACTTTCGACGTTTGTTAAGCTGATAGATTGTGTAGGCCACATTGAGGAACAAGGGATTCTTGGGCGTTCCAAGACTTAAAAGAGCCGGAGAGTTCGGGCTAGAAGGACTCCAGAAGTTTCCTCAGCAAACCACGCACTACCCCTCTGTCCTGTCCAGCACAGTTTGGTTCAAAGGGCCAGTTAAGTTCAAAGGACTCGGTGACATTAGTAGGCGTGATGATGAAAAGAGCCAGATAAATATGTTCAGGAGCTTAAGGCTTCTCCAAGCCACACTCCATCTCTACCCATCCCGGGGCAGCTGTCTCACAGAGATAGTCTTTGTTGGGAAAAATGTTCAGAAATGCACCTACAAGACGGCTCAAGATTATGAGGAGATAAGCCCTGAATGATCCTTGATATTCGCGGTTATACCTAAAGTCTGCACCCTCTAGGTGACTGAAACGGGGTGGGGAGGAGATGAGAGGGGAAAATGGAGAATCTGAGAGGACGGGCCTCCCTCTGCCTGCAAAGCGACCCTGCATTTCAGCAACTGTTGCAGAAAAAGAAAAAAAAAACTGGCACGGAGCGGACACCTGGTCGTTTACTAGAAGCAGGGGGATGACGGGCTTGAGAGCCAGTGAAGAAGTGTCTGTGAGCACTTCACACCTCGGGCCCTCTAATTTCTGGTCACATCTTTAACTCAAGGACTTGTTAGGCGTCCCTTTTGGCTTGCCGGCTTGAATCCTACTTTCCTCCCTCACTTCTACACACACACACACACACACACACACACACACACACACACCACTGTAGCTCCCTTGGTAGATGACAAGTGTGCTCATTTATATAGTAGAGACTGCTCGGTGTTGCTTAAACATATTCATACATACATGTATATGCAATTTCAAAATGGGCATTTATATCAAGGGAAGAGGAAGACCTGTATTTCTAGAACGGACTCTCTCTCTCTCTCTCTCTCTCTCTCTCTCTCTCTCTCTCTCTCTCAGACACACACACACACACCCGCACCCCGCGAGGCACTTGCATCCTAGCCCCCAGCACATTTGGGCTCACTTGAGACATTGTTTCCAGAAGTTTGCAAGACCAAGGCACTGTTGGATGGGGAGAAGTACGAGATTTCTCAGCGAACAATTAGGAATCAGTAGTTGATTCCCAAAGGCACTTGGCCCGGGAAAGAGTATGGTGAAAGTTCTGAGCCTTAAAAACTAAATTGGTGTCACCGACGGCCTCGCCAGCTGTGGCTTTCAGTTCTGGGTCCGACTGGAGCTGGAGTACAATTAGAAAGAGATCGTCCTTGACACCTTGACATTTGGTTTTTAAGCTGTGTGTGCACAACCGGCTGTGCGGGGCCATGAACGCAGCTTTTAGCAACTTGTTTGTTTTCCGAATGTGGGGTTTCCACATTCCAGCGGGCGGGGTTCGGCAATAGACAATGTGCTGGACTACCCTCCTCCCCCCAGTCCGAGGCTGCTCCCCCATCCCCAGCACAGAGAAGTGTAAACAGTTTGTTCTGTGAGCAACAAATCTCGTCAGCAGTGGTGTTCTCTGTTGCCCTGCCGGCTTTGGGTATAAAAATTACCATTGTGAAATTCGTATTTGGCATGCGGGGGGGGGGGGGGGGTGTTCGGTTTTACAAAGATCAACTTTCCATGGCTTGGCTCTGGATAATCGCCAGGAAAAGATATTTGCATTTGGTTTTTATATGCTTACTCGGAAACAAACCTCCAGTGAACGGTTTGATTGTGTTTCAAGCACTCACTATTTTATTATTGTCGTTACTGGCTGTTGTTTGAACGTGAAGATGCTGTCTTGAGGGGAGGGGTTCGAGTTGAAGTTTGAGGACCCCTTTTCTGTTGTTCCACGGGTAATCACTCTACAGCCTCCCCTACAACCCATGACTTGATTGGAAGAAATACCCCAGAACCCCTTGGGCATCTTTTTTGACACCTAAGGTACTGGCAGTTTGAAAGCCCCCGCAGGCGACAGCGGTAATGAATGTTTGGTGGAATGGTGACTGGGAGCAGCCGACCCTCATTCCCCCTCTGACCCGCCAGGAGAGGTTACAGTTCCCCGGGCCCACCGAAGGGATCTTAACTTTGGGAAGGGGGCATGACGTCACGGTAATGGTTGAAAAACAAGGCCTCTGTGGACCCCTCCTGTACAAAAAACACAGGGAAGTGGGATGTGGTGAGAGCTCCTGGAATGCCCGGATTGGGGACGTGGTGACACCACAGGAATGGGGAGTGGGGCTAAGGGCCAGCAACACCAAGGCGGGTCACCAGAACCTGGAAAAGCTATTTTCTGTCTTTTAGTTAAGGGAGTAGGGATTAGACTGGGGGGCGAGTATAGAAACACTTCTACAGGGCGTGAAGCAGATCCACTTGGGTTCTCTGTGCGGTACCCTTCAGGACCCGCTCAACCCAGGTCCTCCTATATGATTCCTTCGCCGTTTTGGGGGGAGTTTCGCTCCCTTGGCTGGGAGTTTAACCCTGGAAGCTCATGAGTGGGTAGTGAGGGTCAGGACGCCTGTGTGCTGGTCCCAGTGGTCCTGCCAAGTCGCGGAGTTGAGAGAAGGGGCAAATCTGTGGGGCTTCCCAGGAGCTGGGGTCAGTAGAAGCTGCATGCCCCCGGAAGATGAACATGGACGATTGTTCCAGAATTGCGTATGGAAAACTTCCCACGAGGCTACCACGACAGACAAGTAGGGCAAAGTCCGTTTGGAGGTGTCTTTCAGCTATTTAGAGAATTTCCTTAGTTCTCCATTTGGCCTTTTTCTTTACCCGAAGCCCGCGGGAGGGGAGGATGTCCTGGGGTCAAAGCCCGTTATTCGTTATCAAACCGTCAATCCGCACGCAGAGTTTGTCATTGGTGTGACTTTTCACCAGAGGGAGGAGGCAGGGGGTGGGGGCAACACCTGGGTGGCTGCGACTTCGGGCCGGTTGGCAACCTTCAGAGGAGGCTTGACAGCAGAACGTTCGTTCTTAACGAGGTCTCTCTAATTCAACCCTTTCTTTGAATAATTCCTACAAAAAACGAAAGCCGCGTTTGTCTTTCGATTATTTCAAACACAAATGATTACATTGCTTATCTCTATGGTTGAATTAATCGGATAGTCACCCATTTATGAGGTGGTCCTCCACGGGAACTTTGTACGAGATAATTTAATGTCATCTTCCAAGTTCTCAAGGTTAGTCTTCTTGGTCTCTCTAATTGCTTTCAGAGAGAGAGAGAGAGAGAGAGAGAGAGAGAGAGAGAGAGAGAGAG